GACCCTCCCGGTCGAGCTCGCTCCTGGGTCGACCCGCTGGTCGCCCTCGCTCCTGAGTCGACTCTCTGGTCGCACTCCTGAGTGGACCCACTGGTCGCACTCCTCCTGAGCCGACTCCCCCGGTCGCGCTCCTGAGTGGACCCTCTCGTCACACTCGTTCCTGAGTCGACCCTCCCGGTCGAGCTTCTGAGTGGACCCTCCCGTCGCACTCGTTCCTGAGTCGACCCTCCCGGTCGAGCTTCTGAGTGGACCCTCCCGTCGCACTGGTTTCCAATGCTCAGGATCCTTTACTTTATGCCGAAAATTCCCCCTGGATCCCGCCCACAAGGCGGGGCTTCTTCCGATTTTTGCTGTGTCAGGATCTGTCCGTAGGCAGGTGTGTCCATGTGTCTGTCCGTATGTCCGTGTGTCCTTGTGTGCATCACTGACGGTATATTCGTTGTCACACTCCCTCCATAAAACCCACGAGCAAACAATCAGATGTTACAAATTGCCTCGAAGTCGTCTCTCTGTCTGGGTGCAATATTATCTCTTGTCTGGCCTTCTTCATGACCCAAAACACAGACGTTACAAATCGTCTCATAGGCGTCTTTGTTCGTGTTGCACAACCTGGAGGGAGGGCAACACTCTCTCCGACCCGGCGCACAAAGAAATGGTTAAAAGTTTTAAGTTAACATTTGTCCCTTACTATTTCACAGTTATGATTCTGTATGTAACCTAAGGTCTGTCGTTTCCCATCGTGGTGCTTGACTCAAGTGTAGGTTTCCCCGAGCGTATACACACTCCTATCCCGCGCTGCGGGGATACAAAGACGGCCGGGATCTCCCTTTCTCTCCGACCCTGGGTTTAACATCGTTTTTTTTATTATGTATTATATTCGACCTGGTTGTGATTCATCCCGTTATCCTGGCTTTTCATAAGTTTTACTTTGTCTTTTCATGCATATACTTATTACTATTAATTTATTTCCGATATCTTAGGTTAAGGGGTAAGTTTCTTGATCCTAGGAATTCGTATTCCTTGGTGCCTGGATGGTTATATAAGCGGAATATAGTTTATGGTGAATAGCGTTAACATTGATGTTATGTGCGATATTATGTATTGTGATGTCTTTAACTTAACTTGTTTGTCAGGGCTTTACTGACACGAAGTTGCATTCATAGCCCGCAGTCTTTGCCCCACCCTATCTCTGCTCGCCGTTGTTGTTGCCTGCCGTTAATTCAAGGCCTCATTAATTTCCGTCACTCCTGAGTAGGTGAGGGCGGTTGAACCTTGGAGTCAGTTCTGGTTTTTGTCTGCCTGCTTCTTCTTGTGTCCCCTGACCCCGGGAGTTATTATTCTACTTTATGGCCTGTCGAAGCCCCACTCGCTGTTGCTGGGCTGGTGTTGTTCCCGGCTTTTTGCTTACGTTTGCAGTTCGCCGTGCTCTTGATTTCCTTCCCTCTTCAACCTTATATTGACTATTCGCTCCTGTCTGGGTGCGATTCAATTTTGACTTAGGAAGGTTCTGATTGTCATATGCTTCGGGTCGAATTGTATAGAAAGTATTGAAGTATGGAAATAACATTTCATATTGACTTAATAATGGTGATGGTTCAGTAGGCGTAACTTGTGGCCTGGTTTAATTGGAGTGGGTGTGAATATCGATAACTTTAGCCTACCCTGTTGTTAAATTCCGACTTTAACGTTACTTTAATAGCAATACAGAATAATTGAGCTTTTTGTCTTAACTAGGCGAATGCGAACTTCTGGTGACCCCCGCAGCCTTGTTGTTCAGCTGGGTCTGCCTCCTTGAGAGATATACACCACTCTTATTCTCGTCTCACTGTGGTCATCCAACCTTCTGCTCTGGGAGTGTTATTCTTACTTTCAGGTCAAAGGCCCCCTCACGTTCAGACGTGCAGGGTTGTTTACATCAGCTCCCCCCCTGTGCACGTGTTCTAACTAGCTCGGAATCCCTGAACACACAATCAGTGATGATTCCTGGCTTTCTGTGGTTGTGATTTAGACAAAGGCGCCTCTGTTTCTTCCATTGCCTTTGAGTCGACACTGCCCTATTATTTGCCCATGTGCTGAGGTCATAGAATTCGTTTTGACTTCAGTAATATTAACATTCAGTATTGGATCAGCAAATGGGCAATGGTTCATTGATGTAGCTCGCAGCCTGGTCTCCAATTTGAGCGAGCGCGAGGATCGATAATTTAGCCTACTCTGTTGTTGAATTTCGAATTTTGACGTTACTTTAAAACCATGCAGGATGGTTGGGCTTTTTGCCTTAACTATGTCTGGCTGACACTCCCACTGTCTCTGCCGCCTGCACGGGTGACATGTGCCCGTTCATCAGGCCTTATCTTTCCTTGAAGCAAGGTTGCAAATTCTGCCATCCTAGCCCTCCTCCAGTTCATTACTTAACAACACCTGGTGTTTTGCAGTTTGCTGCGCTTGGTGTGTTTCAATCATTAAAAAAACAAGTAAAAAGATAATATACAAAAATCATCAAATATTATAAATCTTAATTTTGGAAGAAGGGTTAGTATACAACATTGCGAACCCATACCGAACGCGGCAGATTCAAAACCCCATCAGCCGGTCCTGGACACGCGTGAGCCTCAGGCACCTCCACTGCGAACATGACAGGCCGAGGTGGCAGCGGAACCCGCATGCACCTATTCGTGCCCGAAGCACAGGTGCAAGGGGGCCCCTGCGGCAATCTGGAGAGTGCGTCCGCGTGACGCGATCCTTTACGATACTGAATCTCAAATGAAAATTCCTGCAGGGTTTCCAACCATCGTGCCAATTGGCCAGACGGTTGGTCAACCCTCAAGGAATATTGCAAGGCCGCATGATCCGTGCGCACAATAAACTTACGGCCGTATAAATATGGGCGATATTGACGAAGAAAATGCACTATTGCCAAGAGTTCCCTACGAGTAACGCAGTAGCGGGTCTCCGCCGGAGATAGCACGCGGCTACCATAAGCCACGACGCGTTCAACGCCGCCCTTAGACTGGGACAGGACGGCCCCAATCCCGGCGTCACTAGCGTCAGTATCCAGAATAAAAGTCCGAGTAAAATCAGGATAGTCCAGCGTCGGCGCCGACGCCAAACGATCGCGTAGGCTCTGAAATGCCGCCTCCTCCGTCGGTCCCCAGCTGAACCTCCGGCCCTTCGCCGTAAGGAGGTGCAACGGCCTAGCGATCGTGGCAAAATTTGGAACGAACCTGCGGTAATAGGAAGCGAACCCAACGAACCGACGCACGTCCCCCACTGTGGCCGGAGTCGGCCAGTTTCGGATGCACGCTGTCTTCTCCGGGTCCGTGGCCACCCCGTCCGAACTGACTATGTGGCCCAAAAAGCGCACGGATTGATGCAACAGGTGACACTTTATGTGCTTAAATTTTAAATTGGCGGAACGCATCCTAGCAAACACCGCGTCCAATCTCCGCAGATGTTCCTCAAACGTGTGGCTGAAGACGATAACATCATCTAAATATATCAAACACGTGTCCCACTGCAGAACGGCCAACACGAGCTCCATGAGCCGCTGGAACGTCGCCGGGGCGGCGTTCAAGCCCATGGGAAGACAATTAAACTGAAACAAGCCCTGCGGCGTACGGAAAGCCGTCTTTTCCCTCGAGGACTCGTCCAGGGGAAGTTGCCAGAATCCCGACGAGAGATCTAGCGTAGAAAAAAAATTTGCCCCAGACAAGGCATAGAGGGAATCATCCATACGCGGACAGGGGGTACGCGTCCGCAACGACACCTTATTTAACTTGCGAAAATCGACACAAAATCGCAATTTCCCATCCTTTTTTTTCACAAGGACCACCGGGGCGCCCCACGGACTGTTGGATGGGGAAATAATGTCAGCGGCAAGCATATCCTCCACCGCGCCGCGTACATGATCCCGCTCCGTCGGACTCAATCGATGAGGGTTCATCCGAATCGGAGCGGCATCCCCCGTATCAATATGGTGGGACAGCAAGGTGCGTCCCAAATCGAAATTGTCCGAACTAAAGACGTCGGAATACTTACCCAACAGCGCGCGAAGCGCGGACTGTTGGTCCCCAGTCAAGGACGCATTTTCCCGGCACAACTCGGCAACCCAGCGATCATCCTGTGCCGCGGAGGCCGAGACCCCCCCTATGAGGCCCCGGCGGCCCCGATCGTCATGGGCCGTGAAAGCAGTCGTAGCATGAGCCAAAACCGTTCCGGCTGGCACAATAACATTATCCGCGCTCCCATTCAACACTTGTAAAAACGGAGGCTGACCCGGCTGAACAATCGTCTGTGCCCCGACCAGCGTCAAGCCACCCGTTATAGCATTGGACGGCGACAACAACACGCCCGCCGCACCCTCGATTCCCAGCACTGGTTTCCGATACCGCAGCGGAATAAGCATCTGCGAGCCAGGTGGAATATAAACCGATACCTCGGAGAGCGCCTGCACCTGGCGGTCAGGAGCGGACTGGCCCCAGGGTGATGGCAAGAAAGACATTTTTCGGCCCCCTGGTAATTCGATGCAATTCTGATCCACCCTTATCTGAATGGGCATTTTTGCCAGGAAATTGGTCCCCAACAAGCAGGGCACCACGAGGGACCTGGAAATCAACACCGTCCCCGTAGCTGAAACACCCCCAACCGATATGCTGGCGTCCACCTGACCCACAATGCCCATACTTCCCCCGTTCGCCACTATGCAAGAGTCGTAAACCGGTCGTATCCGCCCCGGCGGAATGGACAGGAGATGGAATATCACGTCAGAGATAATGGTCGCGGACGCACCCAAGTCCACCAAAATGCGCACGTCGACCCCTTAGATCGAACCCGGCACAGTCGACGACCCAGTAGCGGCCGCAACCACCCTCCATGCCAATTTCTGCCATTGCGTCAGCGAGCGACGCGGATCTCTCAGCGCCCCCCCGTTAATAATGCCATCCGGACCGCATAGTGATGGTGATGCATGAGATGACAGGCCTTGCCGGGTATCTGATGCGTACCGACTTTCCTGCCGTGGGTGATCTTGCCGTGTCGCGTCCTTGGCAGGGGCCTCCTACTGGAGCAACGGCCGAGAGCGAGCCCAACACTCTCTGGCGAAGTGCCCCCGCCGGCTGCAGCGGAAGTCGGCTCGTTGACCGGCACCCACTCTGTCTTGGCGATCCCGCAACGGTGGCCCCGAGCGCAACTCCGCTCCCCCTCGAGGCCATTGGGTCGATGCTGCCGCCAGCGCCTCAGGTCCCTTCTCGTCCTGTACGTAGACAGCTTTGGACGGATCCCACCCTGTGGCACCTCCTTCGATGTTGGGGCTCCCCGTCCAAGCCGTCACCTGCTTCCACCGGCGCAGGTTGAATTGCGCGTCCAGGCACTTAGCCGCTATCCGGGAGGTCAGCTGTTCGTGGCCGCACACCGGCATGGGGATGCCCAAATCCCTGGACAACTCCAACATCTTGCCAAAAATTAAAGGCTCCAGCAAGTCGGGCTCAGTGTCCGGATATGTGGCCATAGCCAGCTCCAACACAGCGCCCCGGAAAGCCACTGGTGATTCTTCTGGTGCCTGTTGCCGCTGCACGAATCTGCGATGTGCGTTGTCCGGGGGCTCATAAGCCTCGGCCATTTCCTCGAACACCCCTTTCAGCGTCGTCTTCCTAGCGGCCTTGATGGAGCGGAAGAACCTCACAGACTCGTCGTCCAGGAGCGTCGGTAGGACTTCCAAGGCTTCCGCATCCGTCCACTTGGCGGATCGGACCGCCGCCTCAAAACGGCAGGCAAATGCACTCCAATCCCCGCCGATGGAGAACACCTTGACCATCGTCAGACGATGGCTGCGGGTCCCCGAGTCGCCGTCCCCCGCTGCAGGTATTCCACGCGGTGGCGACAAGATGGCGTCACCATGCGGCGGGGTCAAGATGGCGGCTTCCCGCGGTGGAGGCAACAAGATGGCGGCTTCCCGCGGTTCGTCCCCGACCACGCCCAAGATGGCGGCGTCCTGCCGCGTGTCGGAGAGGGCGGGAAGCGTCGCGCAGGCCCCAATGGCGGACGTCTCGGCCCCACTCGAAGGCTCCCCGCTTGGGCGGTCCGGCCTCGTCGCTGTTGTCACCAGGGTGCATAATTGCATCAAAACGGCCCGCAGCGAATCCAGTTGGGCCGTCACGTGTCGCCAGCCCTCCTCGGCGCCCGTTGATGCAGACGGCCCGGCCGCCCCGACGACATCTTGCACCCGTGGCGCGTCGCCCGTCCCCACTTCGCCTCCGCCTTCCATCGTCGGGAGCGCCACCGCCGCTGGAAGATCGTCTTCGTCTTCAGAAGATGGTGCAGGTATGTTCTTTTTCTTGAGATGTTTAGACATTTCGATTTAAAGCTTTCGTGACTGCAGGGATTCATCTTCTTGGTTCTTTCGGTAAAGTCACGTAGAAGAGAAGTAATAAAATAATAAAAATAAAACATAATAAAATAATTCTCACGACGTTTCGGCCACAACGCAAGCAGCCGTCCTCAGGTGGAGAACAGGTCCGTCAAGTAGACAGTCTGAATGTCACGCTCCAGGCTTGGAGCGACTATTTATGCTGGGATGGAGGAGCGAAGAGCGTCTTGACAAAATAATTTGCATATCAAGATGAATTTAGCATATTTATGGGAAATGCAGATATGCGATTAGCACTACTTGTGAAATGCGTAGGAGGTTTGGCGAGGGGTTTAAGTCATTATGCCCATGCATTATGCAGGATTAGCAGAATCAAAGGGAGGGAGTAAGGTCAGAATTAATAAAGGGAAGGAATGTTAATAATATGGTGTCGCAGCAACTAATATGCTTATTGACTATACCTTGTCATATTACACTATGTTTTATTCTACCCACTCAACTGTATAGCACACTGCTATATATTCACTATAAAATTACGATACTATATAGTACCTTATACATTGTATTAAACATTACAGTTTAATACTATTTATTATTATATAATATGTTATACACTATACCATAAACCGTCGCGTGAAAGGTACTAAGAGGAAGCAACGAAATATGTCAATGGGAGAATGGTGATAGGAAGCTTGCAGCGGAGCAAAGAATCCATTTCCTGCGGAGTGCATATCAAGAGGAATTTAGCATATTTATGGGAAATGCAGATATGCGATTAGGAGGATTGGCGAGAGGTTTAAAGTCATTATGCCCATGCATTATGCAGGATTAGCAGTATCAAAGGGAGGGAGTAAGGTTAGAATTAATAAAGGGAAAGAATGTTAATAATATGGCGCCGCAGCAACTAATATGTTTTTAGACTATACATTGTAATATTACACTATGTATTATTCTACCCACCCAACTGTATACCACACTGCTGTATATTCACCATACAATTTCGATACTATATATTACCTTATACATTGTATTAAACATTACACTTTAATACTATTTATTATTATACAAAATGCTATACACTATACCACTGACCGTCGCGTGAAAGGCACCAAGAGTGCTAATCGCATATCTGCATTCCCCATAAATATGCTAAATTCCTCTTGATATGCAAATTATTTTGTCAAGACGCTCTTCGCTCCTCCATCCCAGCATAAATAGTCGCTCCAAGCCTGGAGCGTACCATTCAGACTCTGTCTACAGGACGGACCTGTTCTCCACCTGAGGACGGCTGCTTGCGTTGTGGCCGAAACGTCGTGAGAATTATTTTATTATGTTTCATTTTTATTATTTTATTATTTCCATTCTACGTGACTTTACCGAAAGAACCAAGAAGAAGGAATCTTTGTTAATAGCCAGTAGGCTTGCAAAGTACCATCGTCTTAGAGAAATCTATTTCGTGTGAACCAGCCGCATTAAAATAATGATCAGCCACGGCAGAAGTATTGGTCCTACAGTGTTTCAAATCTGCCTTATCCTCATGTACACGGTCCGAGACATGTCGCTTAGTTTCCCCAATGTAACTGCTGCCGCAGATACAGTTTAGTTTATAGACGCCGGGATATTGCATGTCAGGAATCTTGTGCTTCACATATGGGATGCAATATCTCGGCATCTACAAACTAAGATGTCATCGAAACGTCATGATTTTTTGTTATTAATTATATATTTTTTACATTTATATTTAAATTACTTAAAGAACCAAAAACAAGTCTACATTATAGACTGCCAGTACGCTCACTCAGGTTAAGAACCAGGCTACAGTTTACATTATAGACTGCCAGTATGCTCACTCAGTTTAATAACCATTGCTACAGTCTACATCAGATTTCCAATACGCTTACCAGCTTAAAAACCAGGCTACAGTCTACATTATAGACTGCCAGTACACTCACCGAGGTTAAGAACCAGGCTACAGTCGACATCATAGACCGCCAGTACGCTCACTGAGGTTAAGAACCAGGCTAGTCTACATTATAGACTGCCAGTACACTCACCCAGCTTAATAACCATTACTAGTCTACATTATAGACTACCAGTACACTAACTCCGAATTAGAACCAGTCTACATAGTGGTTTTTTGTTATTATTTTATTTAATTCTTATTTTTATTCACGTAATTTTTTGGTTATTGAACAACCCCTGCGGTGTTCGAAAATCCGTTTTTTATCTGGATTTGTCGTCCAGGGGAAGTTGCCAAAACCCTGACGATAGATCTAAGGATGAAAAATATTTTGCTCCAGCTAATGCATCTAGCAAATCATGAATTTGCGGTAGGGGATACGTGTCCGCGATCGTAACCTTGTTTAATCAACGGAAATCTACACGAAACCTCATTGAACCATCTGGATGTTTAACTATTATTACTAGTGCTCCCTAAGGACTGGTTGATGGAGAAATTATTTCCGCTCTTCACATCTCACCTGTAGCTCTACGGATCTGCTATTTTTCTACTGATCCCACTGTATATGAATTATATACAGTGAGGCTGAGCATTCCCCATTTCAATATGGTGCTGCATTAAGTCCGTGCAACCCAGATCATTTAGGCCCTTATTGAAAACATCTTCAACTTCTAGGTGATTTTTAAGGAGGTATCTTTGACCTTGAGTCAATTCAGGGTTAAGTTGAACGATTTCCTCCACCCAAGGAGACCCCATCCCATCCTCTTCCTGTATCCCCGCTACTTCTGCATCTTCATGAATCTCACTCGCTGGGAAAATCTGTGCAATTACCGTCCCTTCTCGCAATGTAATTGCCCGCTCGGACGTATTTAAAACTTGCATACATAGCTGCTGGTTCCATCTTAAAATGGTGTCCGCCGCTGCTAGCGAATGTCGACCAATTGTTGGTCCCAATGGTGCAACTATAATTTCTGTGTCCACGCGTGGGGTGATTAAAGGCGATTGATATCGCAAGGGAATTAACACCTGTGCTAGTGGTGGAATCGTCGACTCTCCCACCAGGGTGTGTACTCTGGCAGCCTTTCCTGTCTCCGCATCAGGCTGCAAAAAATTATATTATTTTCCCTGATGTCGTTTCAACACAGCACTAGTCCATCGTTATCTTAATGGGTAGCCGACTTAAATAATTGGTACCCAGTAGACATGGTACTGCTTGGGAAGAGGACACCAAAATGGGGCCTGTAAAACACATTTCCCCTACATAGATTTCCGTCAACTTTTCCCACAATTCCCCAGACTACCGCCATTTTCCCCCACAAAATGTATTGTCAGCCCGTTCAAGATGACGTTTTTTTGCGGGTAACATATCAAACACGAGTGCAGAAATGGTTACTGATGCTCCTGTGTCCACCAACACCCTCACAGGACTTCCCTCTATCGCTCCCACCAAAACCAATGTGCCCGTGGCTGCTGCTACAACCCGTCTCGCTAACTTTTACCACTTAGCCCTAGATATTGGCCCAATTTGCCCTGTTGTGTCACTCTGGGTCGCTGCGATCGAGTGGTGTGCTGGTGATGACGGTGAAGGTTTTGGGAATTAGATGTATGTGTGATCTGGCCGGGTGTGCAGGGCGTCGCGACTAGCCTGGGTCTTTTTTGGGAAGTCCCACGATGTTGTCTCAAGCCGACTTCCCCTCCGCATCCTTTCGCGATGAGGCAGCGGGAGCAGTATATCACTGCGTGGTCCCGGATTGCTCCGTGGTTCTGCCACGGTCGCTGCTGCTGTCGTTAGCACCTTGGATCGTTGAACCTCCGGTTGGCCGCTGCCATCTCTTACAATCATTCATTGACTGAGTGAATGATTTACGAACATTTGAAAGCAAATATTCGTAAATCGGCGGTTCATAAATCAAGGAATTCCTATGTGTAGTGACTGTACTTGTCACTGTATGGTGCTGGGACTTGCGTGCGAAGTCACGGCCGGTAATGTGGTCATTGCGGGCAGCCCGGAATGCGGGCTGCAGTACCAACACTAGCGGTGGTTGGGTGAGCGCTGGTTAGCACGGAGGCACCACGAGCAGTGTGCGGTGCCGGCTCCCAGTGATGGAGCGAGAGCGAGCGTCAGCCAGCCAGGGTTAACCTGGGGCATGATACTCTGGCTGACCTGTTCTCACATGACCGGACGATACTGGAGGGGGGCCACGGGTGGACGAGGGCGACGGGCGGGCACGTGGTCCCGAAGAGCTCTCAGGAACATTCGAGAGGGAGCTCGAGAAGCTTGGAAGGTGGGCGGGGCTCAGGGCGGAGCCAGCCCGAGCCCGGCGGCATATAATGAGAGCTCCGTGAGGAGCTCGGGGTTCTGCAAATGTTGGTGCTCGAAAATCCACGTCAGGGAGAAGAAGCCTCTAGCTACGCAGTCCAGGACCCAGCTTGTGGTCCGGACCGGGATAGCGAACCGTGTCTAGTTCTGCCATAGCGTGGATAGATGGGCATTCGAGACCCGAACGTAGGTTGTGTTGTTACGTATTGTATGTGAATAAATCGTGTCGCTCCCAAGATGACGTCTGTGACTCAGTTGGAATCACTCCATATGTATAGGGGAGGGAGCCATTAAGTGCTTAGAGAAATAACCCCAGACACGTGGATGCAATAAGCAATGTGTGCATTGTGTATGTTGTGTGAAACAGGAAGTATTATTTACGTAAAATATATTTTCTACCATTTTTAATATAACTTGCACGGTAAATGTGTAATGAGATAGTGACATTTACTGGTTGGAAAAGGGAAGCATGGGTACAGGCACCATTATAAACATTATCCAATCCCTAAAGGGATAGGTATCTAGGCCAAAGGTGAAGGGCAGGGCCAGCCAAGAAACCGGCTAGAAAGTTCCACGAGAGGGCGTGGCCGGAGGCGGAATCTAGCCATGCCTGCAGCAATATAAGCGGAGGACTTGGGGTGGGTGTGTGGAGTCTTGGGTTCGAACTGCGTCGCTGCTCGCCGTCATATCTCTCTGTTGTTCGGCCACGTGGCGGATCTCCTGCGGAGTTCCACCGCTCTCCCCGGCGGAGTTCCACCGCTCTCCCCGGCACGCCGTCAGCAAGCGGCGAGACTGGGAGCGGATGGGTGGAGCCTGCCGTGTGATCAACCATGTGTGTAGTCTGTAACAACGTAAATATCAAAGTGTGTACTCGGAAGAGAAGATAACGTGAGCTGTGCGGTGCCCGATTGTGAAATAAAGAGTACCCTCTACACAATGCGTCACGGAAGTCGCTCATTACAAATGTATAGAATGGGGAAAAAATACGTAGTGAGGTTAGAAAAATGTCGGGCGACTGAAGCTCTCTGCCTCCTCACTGCAGGCTGATCAGCATTGGGGCAGGGCACCAAGTTCCAAAAGATGTGTACTGTACATTAAATTCGCAGTGAACTGCAAATGGTGGAGTCACAGGGGGGGGGGCGCCATCGGTGAACTGTAGCTCAAATTTGGCACGGTCAAATCCACGATGGGAAAACCCGCGATGAGCGAGGGTTTTGGTGTATTTGATACTTAACGTAAAACCTCAAATCGTAGGCTTTCGCAACCAATATCCATAATACAGGTTTTTTGGGTTAGATCGCGTTAATATATATAGATGTGTAGTTAAACCCACCACCACCCAATACAGACAATTAGTAAGGGGGGTGTAACTGGGCCAAGGGTCAAGGCAGGGATCAATCTGGCTGTCATGGGGGTTCGGGTCCTAGTTGCCGTTGCTGTCATCGCTGCCATCTCTTCGTCGTCGTTGTCGCTGCATCGCCGGCCAGCTATACAGTCCTCATTATTGTCGTCGCTATATAGTCAGTCAGCTATATAGTTGTACGTCGCCGATGTCGCTGTATGGGTGGCTAAGCTATACATAACCCAGCGCTTGTTACTCGGTGACCCTGTCCTTAAAGTATTAAGAAATAAACAAGAAACCCTCTTGATTTGAATTTTTCGTGACTGCAAGAATCCATACTCAACCGAGAAGATGGGTACAAACTGAGCAATCATTGGAAGGACGTTATTAACCAGGTAAAGTCTTAACTGACTGTAATGTTTCCATCCTACCTGTCTATGTCAGCTATTATTTACGACTCTCTGTCTCTCTCTCTATGTCTCTCTCTTGCTCACATGTCTTTTGCATTGCACTCTCATGCTCACATGTCCTTTGGATTGCACTCTCATGCCTTTGGATTGCACCACTCTTCGATCTTACATTAACATGATAATCTCTCACATTAACTATAGCCACTTCCGTGCCCTCGTCAAGGGGGCCGCTCTCCGTTCTTACATTTACATTGCTAATTTATCATTTACATGCTAATTTCTCACATTAACATCACTAGCCCCGCCCACTTCTTTATGACCCTTGGGCTACACTCATTTCAAACCATTTAAAACAGTCTGCCTCAGCAGCAGATCATGCTTTCCCACCTGATGACAGACGCTTGTGTTGCACCGTCGTTATTTATTTCATTTTATACCTACGTGACTTTACCGAAAGAACCAAAGAGTAAAGAAACCCCTCTACAAGTCATGTCTTGGAAGTCGTCTCATTACACTAGGACAGCACACCAGTGTTGGAAAGTAAAGCCAAAAAAAAGTTTTACTTAATTACTGGCGAAACATCGTACTCAAATTGTAAATGTTGTGGTTTTGCTCTCCAACACACCGGTGTGCTGTACTAGTAATGGATTGGCATGTTCTGTTGACATCACAAACCTTATTTATTGGCTGTGTCGGGTTTAACGACACATTTATATATTTACGCGATCTAACCCAAAAAAACCTGTATTATGGCCTCATAAATGTAAAAAAGCTGAAAATGTAAAAAAGAAAAGGAAAATTAAATTAAAGTAAATTCAGTTAAAAAGCAATTTTAATAGAGCAAACTGAAATGTACAGAAAGTCTTCGCTTAACGTGTGGTGTACACTCAATATGTTTTGGCTATCACGTGGTTCTTCTAATCAGGAAAAACATTTTTTGCACAACGTGGAACGCGCCTTGTTACAATGCAGAACGCGCACTGTTACAATGCGGAAAGCGCATTGTTACAATGCGGAACGCGCAATGTTACAATGCAGAACACGAACTACGCGGGTGAGTGGTACAGTGGTACAGTAATGCGGCATGATACAGTAACGCAGGGGCAGCATATCCCGAGTTATTTGTCCCGCTATTTGTGCGGTGTGCATAGTAAATCGTATCTTGCCAAACTTTACCATTGCTACATTTCGTATGGCGATTTTTTTTTGCTTAACGCGATTTTCACTTACGCAGCACTCTCCGGGTACGCATCTACCACGTTAAACAAGGACTTACCGCAGTCCAACCATTAACATAGATACTCAATCCCTTCATACATAACCAACGATTTGTAATGCTTAATTATCAAGGCACCCGTACTACTTTGCAAATCGACAATACTTCACGACTGCACGGCAATAGGAATATAACTTGCAAAGTAAATATATGGAATGGGAAAAAAAATACATAGTGAGGTAAGAAAAATGACGGGCAGCTAAAGCTCTGCCTCACTGGAGGCTGATGTCCAGTGGGGAGGGCAGCAAGTTACAACGAATGTGTATTGTACATGAAACTCACAAGCAACCGCGAAAGGTGGAGCCACAAGGGGGCGCCAAAGGTGAACTGTCGCTTAATAAATTTGGCACGGTCAAATCCGCGATGGGAAACCCCGCGCTGAGTAAGGGTTTTGGTGTATTTGGAACATGACATAAAACCTCATGTTAGAAAAATCAGAAAACGTAAAAAAGGAACATTAAATTTAGTAAAAAGCTATTGCATTAAAGCAAAACAAAATGTACAAAAGTCCTCATTTCGATTTAAAGCTTTCGTGACTGCAGGGATTCATCTTCTTGGTTCTTTCGGTAAAGTCACGTAGAAGGGAAGTAATAAAATATAAAAAATAAAACATAATAATAATAAAACATAATAAAAGTCACGTAGAGGGGAAGTAATAAAATAATAAAAATAAAACATAATAAAATATATTTTATTATGTTTTATTTTTATTATTTTATTACTTCCCTTCTACGCGACTTTAGCGAAAGAACCAAGAAGATGAAAAAGTCCTCACTTAACGTGTGCTGTCTCCACATCGCATTTCTGCGATCACGTGTTTTTTTCATTTGGTAAAACTTTGTGCACAACGTAACGCACACCGTTACAATGCGGAACGTGCACTGTTATAACGCAGTATTTGATTGATCGACAACGTACCACTTTCAGCTGAGTGGCCGAGTGACGCAGAATGACAGTAGCGTAGTGGCAGTGTACCCACAGTTATTTCTCATTTTCCCTTACACGGCACTCTGCGGGTACGAATCCAACGCATTAAATAAGGCCTTACTGCACTGTCATTAATATACTCAAAATCCCTTTATACATAACCAACAATTTTTTTATGCTCAATTATCAAGGACCCGGTACTTATTTGCAAATCGACAATATTTCACGACTGCACAGCAATATTATTAATAATATAACTTACACGGTAAATATATTGAATGGGGGAAAAAAACAGTGAGCTAAAAAAATGGCAGGTAGCCAAAGCTTAGTCTCCTCACGAGAGGCGGATGTCCAGTAGGGCAGTTACAACAGATGCGTACTATACATGAAGCTCACAGTTAACCGTGAATGGTGGAGCCACGGGGGCATGATTGGTGAACTGTAGCTCAATAAATTTGGCAACGGTCAAATCCGCGATGGGCGAGGGTTTTCGTGTATTTGAACATGACATAAAACCTCATAAATGTTAAAAAAGCTCCAATGTAAAAAGGTAAAATCAAATTTTAGTAAATGCAGTTAAAAAGCTATTTGAATAGGAGACAATCAAAATGTACAGTAAGTTCTCGTTTAACGTGTGGTATTCACACTGCGTTTTCACTATCACACGGTTCTTCCATTTGGGAAAAACTTTTTTGCACAATGCAGAACACGCACCGTTACAACGCAGAATGGGCACCGTTACGACAGTTTCTAAGCGGTCGACAATGAACTACTTTCTTGACCTACGTGCTGAGTGGTACAGTGATACAATAATGTGGAATAATACCATTACGCAGTGGTGGCGTACCCTCCGCTATTTATCCCGCCATCTCAATGTGTGGTGTGCGTAGTACATCGTATCTTGCCAAACCTTAACATTACTACACCATTTATGGGAAAATCTTTTCACTTCACGTAGTTTTCGCTTACATCGGTACTCTCCAGGAACTCATCTACTACGTTAGGAGCACTCAAAATCGCTTTATACATAACCAACAATTTAGAATGCTTAATTATAAAGCAAGGCACCCGCACTACTGTGCAAATCGACAACATTTTACGACTGCACAGCAATAATATAATAATATAACTTGCACGATGAAAATATATGGGGAGAAAAAAACTTAGTGAGGTAAGAACAGTGACAGATGGCTGAAGCTCTGCCTCCTCACTGCAGGCTGATGTAGTGGCAGGGCAGCAAGTTAGAACATGTATACTGTATAATAAATTTGCAGTCAAACATGAATGGTGGAGCTACAGGTAGGGCGCTATCGATGAACTGTAGCTAAATAAGCTCCGGCCACTTCCCCATCATGTCTTCACACGCAGCTTTCTACTTCCAGCCCCGCCCACTGCCCCCTCCTGTCTTCGCAGCTCGGACCTCTCGTCACGGCAGCTCTCTCGCCGACTTCAGCAGTTTTCTTGCTGCAGTTTTCTCATCTCATGACAATTGCTTGCGTTGCGATCGAAACGTCATTATCTATTATTTTTTCTACCTACGTGACTTTACCGAAAGAACCAAAGAGCATGTAGCTAAATAAATTTGGCACAGTCAAATCCACAATGGGAAAACCCGCGATGGGCGAGGGTTTTTGTTCATTTGGAACCACGTCGTGTAGACAGCTTCTTATTTATTCTCACACTGGGCATACCACTAGCCGTTATATAGAACGTATCTACATGGCTACACATAGCCGATCCTTCTACACAACCCCACGGTCGGCATCCAACTACACAGCTGTCCAACTAGCGTAGTGATGACTATGAAAATCGTGCAGAGGATCGGCCACGAGGCCGGACGACGAAGAGAGATGGCGGCGAGCAGCGACGCAGCCAGGACCCAGGAGCTGCAACAGCCCCGAACCTCTGGTTCCGTCCCCCTTATATACATCCCAGCCACGCCCCCTCCAGAACCTTGGAGCAGGTTCCCAGAACTTCCCGACTGACTCTGCCTTTCACCTTTACCCCAGATACCGCCCCCCTTCTAGTGAGTCATTATATAACTTGCCCATACCTGTGATTACCCTCCAGGCTGACAGGTGGCACCCTGTCATTACACGTGTTAGAAAAAGCTGAAAACTTAAAGGAATAAAAAATAAGTAAATGCAGTTAAAAACTATTTTAACAAAGCAAACCGAAATTTACAGTAAGTCCTCACTTAATGTATGGTGTCCACACACTGCATTCTCGCTATAACGTGGTTCTTCCATTCGGGTAAACTTTTTGCGTACAACGCGGAATGATAACGTAATGTACTACCCTCCGTTACTTGTCCCGCAATCTCACTGTGGTGTGCGTAGTACATCGTATCTTTCCACATTTTATTATTACATCATTTATGGGGAAAGTGTTTTTGCTAACACGACACTCCAGGAATACGATGACCATGTTAAACAAAGCCTTACTGCACTGTCGAAACGTCAACATAAAGACTAAAAATCTTTTATACATAACCAACAATTTGTAATGCTGAATTACCAATAAAAGCACCCCTACTATGTTGCAAATCGGCAATATTTCACGACTGAATGGCAATAATATAATTGCTGAAAGCTCGAAAGCTCACCTCTGGCTGGATGCCTACAGCTGCATGCCTTGTTGGAGTGAGAGAAGTCTGTAGGGATAAGGTAAACGCCGTGGGGATAAGGTAAATGCCGTGGGGATAAGGTAAACGCCGTGGAGATTCTCTCTCACTTTCCGAGTTTCACATTTAACCGGACTCCATTTCACACTGCTGGTTCCTATTTAGATCGTCCATAAACTCCACCCACAACCCCACATCCACAAACTCTTCAAATTGCCTCTCTCCCTCAGAGTCCAAATTCTCCTGCTTCACGCTGCCTCTAATTCAACATGGAGGTCGAGTCCTGGAGTCAATGAAAACAGAGATGGGAGAATGGAGATGCCAAGAGGTGAAACTTCTTAAGTGGTTCCAAAACTTTGGCGCTGCTACATTAAATAAAAGCTGGATGATGCCTACAGCTGCATTCATTATTGTAATTAGAGAAGCCTGTGAATAAAGTTAACGCTTTAGAATTATTGTGTCACGGTCTTGGTTACAGATCTTCCCAGACTCCACTTCACATGTGCAGGGCCCTCCTACTCTGCTGTCCAAATATTCGACTCACAATTCCTCCTCAAACTCCTCGAGGATGCCTCGCTCTCCCTCAGAGTCCAAATGCCCCTCCTGCTTCACGTTGCCTCCATCAACCTGGAGGTCGGTTCCTGGAGTCGAATCTTCATCTTCACATTTCACCTTCATTTCTTCACATTCCACCTTCACTCCTGGCCATGTTTCAAAAGTGGGGTTAGCTTCTGGTTCTTGTTCCATGAGAGATGGGCTCAATGAAGCAATTTGACTTTCACTTCTCAATTCCACCTCCATCCCCTTGTGGATCTTCTCACGCCTCTTTCGGCCTTCTGACCGTACAGATTCCTTTCCATACACGGTGTGCTTGACGGGCGTCTTGCCTGAGTGTATTCTGTCATGAACACGAAGAGATCCTGAATCTTTAAAAGCCTTTTCAGACACGGTGCATTTGAAGTTTTTTTTACCAATATGTGTTTTCTGATGTCTGTCAAGATTCGATAACCATGAAAATGTCTTTCCACACACAGTGCACTTGAAGGGTTTCTCACCTGTATGTATTCTATGGTGAATACGAAGAGATCCGGAATCTTTAAATGCCTTCTCACACACAGTGCACACAAAGGGCTTCTCGCCTGTGTGTGTTCTCTGATGATCCTGAAGAGTTCCTGACCGTGTAAATGACTTCTCACAAACAGTACATTTGAAGGGCTTCTCACCAGTATGTGTTGTCTGATGGCTGTTAAGATTCGATAACCATGAAAATGCCTTTCCACACACAGTGCACTTGAAGGGTTTCTCACCTGTATGTATTCTATGATGAATACGAAGAGATCCGGAATCTTTAAATTCCTTCTCACACACAGTGCATTTGAAGGGTTTTTCCCCAGTGTGGGTTTTTTGATGGCTGTCAAGATGTGATGACCGTGTAAATGCCTTCCCACATACAGTACACTTGAAGGGCTTCTCACCAGTGTGTGTTTTCTGATGGCTGTCAAGATGTGATGACTGTGTAAATGTCTTCCCACACACAGTGCATTTGAAGGGCTTCTCACCAGTGTGTGTTTTCTGATGGCTGTCAAGATGAGATGACCGTGTAAATGTCTTCCCACACATCGCACACTTGAACGGCTTTTCACCAGTGTGAGTTTTCTGATGGCTGTCAAGATTCGATAACCATGTAAATGTCTTCCCACACACAATGCACTTGAAGGGCTTCTCACCTGTGTGTGTTCTCTGGTGTATTTTAAGGTATGGTGATTGTGCAAATGCCTTCCCACACTCGGTGCACTTGAAGGGCTTCTCTCCAGTGTGAGTTCTGTGATGGTTCTTCAAGTTGCTCATCTGATCCGTGCTGTATGGACACTGGATGCATTTATGCCTTTTAATTCCAGCTTGTTCCGAGTCTCTCTGCTCCATGTGATTCATCTGCAGATATATACACATATTACACACAATATATAGGCAGACCTCACTTAGCACAAACCAAATGAGACAATTCCTCATCATGCTTTCTCCTGCAGAATCTTTTTACGAAAAAAAATTAAAACCTACAAAGCGCTTGCAGTAGCGCTTGCCGAGGAAACGTTCCCACCCCAATCATTCACTTAGATAATGAGAGCGACACGCTGAGCCAACCAGATCCCTATTCGTGATCACAATTACATCTCATATTATTACAGTGCTTTTAGCCAGATGTAAACTCATGAGACTAGGACAGTCTCAGGCTCTACCCAAAAGAAACCTCACCACAGAAATCTAGACTGAGGGCATCACTAAGATCACGGAGGTCCTGGAGCTATTCTCTAAGCGATAAGCCCAGGGGTGAGCCAGCGCTATTCGTATTTCACATCTGTCAACTTTAAAGTCGCTAAATTGACAATTTAGTACTATTAATTATTATATTACTAAGCTGAGCGTGCGCCAGAGCACGCATCTGCGCATGCACGAGAAAGCTGACCCGTGGTTGCCCTAGCAACGCACACACGCGATCGGTGGGGGGAGGGGGGAATTCTCATTCGCATTAAAAATAAGAAAAAATCGCTGAGGTAAATTATTCAAAGTGTGATGTCCTCTTTTCCCCCAACCACCCCAATGTGTGCACATACTACTGTAATAAACAACTTCCACGACGACTCTGGACTGGTGTCTTTTATTTAACAGTCTGCACAGCTCCGCTTTTCTCTCTCCGGATGGCTTCCTCTCTCTCTCTCCGTTGCCGTAACGCGCGCTTCTCCCTCTTCCACCGTCGCGGCCGTCTCTTTCTCTCTCCACGCTCGCCGCTGGCTGGCGGCCCGCTGGAGGGAGAGAAGGCTTCGCTGGCAGAGGCCGCCACGTGGCCAGTGGCAAGTAGAGGTAGGCAATGATGCAGTCCGGACTCTAGGCTCCCCACACCGACCCCGAGTCCTCTCACTGCCTCTCCTTATATTGCTCTCGGCGGAGCTAAGCTCCGCCTCTAGCCACGCCCCCTCATGGAACCTTCCCAATGGTTCCCGTACATACCCACAAGCTCCGCCCGTTACCTTTGGCCCAGATGGAACCCTTCCTTCTGATAATATTAGTTACCCAGCAGTGACTATGCAATTACCCCTCGTCGTTCCTTAGATAGCGCTCTCATTACACTACTATTGGGTCGGTAGATACTACTATTATAGCCCTTAGATACTATTACTGTAGAGCGGGCGGGGGGATGGTGGGGCAGGTGTAGCAGCCCACCCTGCAAAGGTGCCACCTCGGCCGGCTGGGCAATCGAGGCCAGGCCGGGGGCTTCTCCAAGGGACTAGGCCTGACAACGGTACTTTGTATACTTACTAGATACTATTATACAGTCGATATATACGATTATAGGGTCGGTAGATACGACTATAGAGTCGGTAGATACTACTATAGAGTCGATAGATACTACTGTGAAGTCGGGAGATACTACTACAGTCGGTAGATGCTATTGTAGAGTCAACAGATACTGCAATAGAGTAAGCAGATACTGCTACAGAGTCAGCAGATAATAATAGAGTCAGCAGATACTGATAGAGAGTTAGTAGTTACGACTATAGTCAGTAGATACTACTATAGAATCGGTTAAATCTTGACTTAAAGCTTTTCGCGACTGCAAGAATTCACATTATTTGGGTCTTTCATGTAAAGCCACATAGATAGAAAAAATTATCAAAATAATAACAATATTATGACGTTTCGATCGCAACACAAGCAATCGTCTTTAGGTGAAAAAAGAGATTGCTTTTGTTGTGATCGAAACGTCATGATATTGTTATTTTGAAAAAAATATATATCTACGTGGCTTTACCGAAAGATCCAAATAATACTATAGAGTCAATAGATACTACTATAGCTTCTGTAGAGTCAGTTACTACTATAGTTGGTAGATACTACTATACTCAGTGGATACTACTATAGATTCAGTAGATACTACTATAGTCATTAGAAACTACTGTAGAGTCAGTATATACTATAGAGTTTGCTGATACTATTGAGTCAGTAGATACTACTGCAGTCAGTAGGTACCACTACGGTCAGTCAATACTGCTACAGTTAGTAGATACTACTATAGTTTGTAGATACTTCTAGAGTCAGTAGATACTGCTGTAGAGTTAATAGATACTACTATAGAGCCAGTAAATACTACTATAGAGTCAGTAGATAATACTAGTCAGTAGCTACCACTATACTGCTGCAGAGTCAGTAGATACTGCTATAGTCAGCAGAAACTACTATAGAGTTAGTAGTTACTACTATAGTCAGTGGATACTACTATAGAGTTAATAGATACGACTATAAATTCCATAGATACTACTATAGTCATTAGATACTACTGCAGAGTCAGTATATCTATTATAGAGTTGGTTGATACTACTATAGAGTTGGCAGATACTATTATTGAGTCAGAAGATACAACTACAGTCAGTAGATACCACTATGGTCAATAAATACTGCTACAGTCAGTAGATACAAGTCAGTAGATACTACTGTATAGTTAGTAGTTACTACTATAGTCAGTGTATACTATCGTCAGAAGTTACTGCTATAGAGTCGATAGATACTCCGAAAGAGTCAGTAGATAATACTAGTCAGCAGATACCACTTTAGTCAGTATACTGCTACAGAGTCGGTAGATACGACTATAGAGTCAGCAGATACTGCTTTCAAGTCTGCAGATACTAGTCAGCAGATATAATAGTTAGTAGTTACTATAGAGTCTACAGATACTATACATTCTGTTGATACTACTATAGTCATTGGATACTACTCTAGAGTCAATATTTACTACTATAGAGTTGGTTCATACTACTATAGTCAGCAGATACTACTTTCGAGTCAGTGGATACTACTACAGTCAGTAGATACCACTATGGTCAGTAAATACTGCTACAGCCAGGAGATACTACTATACAGTCAGTAGATACTACGGCCACTAGACACTACTATAGTCATTAGATACAACTGTATAGTTAGTAGATACTACTACTGTCAGTAGATACTACTACGGTCAGTAAATACTACTACAGTCAGTAGATACTACATTAGAGTCAGTAGATTATGCTGTAGAGTTCACAGTTACTACTATAGTCAGTGCATACTACTATCGTCAGTAGTTACTACTATAGAGTCGGTAGATGCTACTATAGGGTTTGTAGATACTACTAAAGTCAGTAGATAATACTACAGTGAGTAGATAATACTACAGTCAGTAGATACCACTATCGTCGGTATATACTGCTGCAGAGTCGGTAGATACGACTATAGTCAGTACATACAGTTATAGTCAGCAAAAACTGCTATAGTCTGCAGAAACTGCTATAGAGTCTGCAGATACTACTATGGAGTTAGTAGTTCCTACTATAGTCAATAGATACTACTATATTCAGTAGGTACTACTGCAGTGTTGACAAAGTGGGCAGAGACTTCTCTTCGCAGGCAACACCGTTTATTTCCTCTGATACAGAGCGTCCCTAACACAGAGAGATAACGGCCTCTCCCACCCGATAGCCTAGAGGATATGTCCTTACACTAGTGTGCCCTCACACTATACTCTGCTATCGGGATTCCTCCGCGAAGGGACCTAGGAAAGGCCATGCTCACCCGACCTTGCCAGGGTAACGGGTGCCGTCACTGGGCCGTTCGGACCTGGCCCTGACAAGAGCCGGAGGTTGGAAGTCCCAGGACACTATCTAGATGTCTTCGGGTCTTGAGGTGAGTGCGGACTGACTCACACTGGGAGAGCTGGCCTTTTTATACTCCCCCCTCGCAACCACTCCAAGTTGGATATCTCCGGATCTCTCTGGAGAGGGTCTGGGTCCGACCGTTGGTCCCCCCAGCCCCCTCCCTCAGTGTGCTCTGGCCCCCTGACCCCTGGTCAACGGTTATTGTAGTCGTGGGTCGTACACCTGTCACTCAACAGCCCCCTTGGCTGTTCTGCGCCCCCTACAGACTGAGGGCGCCACTAAAGGTGAGTGTACGTGACCCATACAATACTGCTACGTAGGTAAGTACACATGTTGCGCGTAACAATGCCGCTACACTACTACAGTCATTAGATACTACTGCAGTCAGTATTTACTGCTATCGAGTCGGTAGATACTAAATTCTATTACAGTCAGTATATACTTCTGTAGTCAGTAGTAATAGATTACTCATAAATATGTGTTACTTACTGTGCTATAGTCAGCAGAAACTGCTATAGAATCTGCAGATACTGCTATAGAGTCTGCAGATACTGCTAGTCTGCAGATACTACTATAGTCAGTAGGTACTACTACGGTCAGCAGTTACTACTAGTCAGTAGATACAACTACAGAGTCAGCAGATACTACTGTAGAGCCATATACTACTATAGAGTCACTAGATACTACTCACTCTATTGTATGTAGGGTGTTTAGGTATATATGCCAACGTGGGGGTTAAAATGTTTTGAGGGGGGGGTCGACAATTTTTGGAAACCTTTTAGATCAACTATTTACCCCCCACTTTCTATAACTTTTTGGACTTCTGCAAGCCTCTTATAATTTTGTTGAAAGACAAATGGACAAACGACACGCTGGCCTTTCACAATAGCTTAGTATCTGTGTATGTATGTTATGTTTTTAAGAGAAGTTTTGAAATATATTTTTCGCCCGGGTAATGGCGGGTACTTCCTGCTAGTCTTATATATAAAAGTCCCCGCGCGAATGCGCTTGCGAGGGATTTGGCTCTTAGGATATTCCGTTTTCCCATCCATAAACTTTAAATTAGTTACATTAGCGATTTAGTGCCATTTTTATTATTTACTTATTGCGCGAGCTCGACCTCGACCGTACCAACTGACAATTGCGTGGGGGGGGGCGGACCCTGCCAAGTGATGTTTGTGTAGGTCCATGCGTGTCTGTCTTATTCGATTGGACAACGCCCGATGTGTGTGTACGTCAAAGTGTTTG